ATATAATCAAAAGAATACATACTCTTTACAAAATTATCATTTTTAATCATCTTCTTTCACATATTTCTATAAATTTCTCAGAAATGACTCATACACCATAATAAGACAAAACAATTACCAAGTCAGAAATAAACATTATGAATTTTGGCCAAATGCAGTCAGAAATTGACTTATTTTTAGAACTGCATATACGTAATTACTCCGGCAATAAGAATTTGTTTTCTCTAATTCTATTAAAAATATTCAAACACAATTACTGAAAACAATAATAAAATAAGAGACAAGAGCAATTTCAAGTTCATTGTTGTTTTAATTATTGAGTGCCAAAACTTGGTTTCTTAGAATTTATTTCCACGGGACGAAAAAATTATCAGAGATATTTAAATATATATTTGTAATAAAGTATTCTGACCGTCTCGCGCTAATTTTAATCGTCTTTAGTTTTATTATTTTTTCATTTTTTTTCCATAACTTAATTGATATATGATAATGACCTTCCACAGTGATATTTTATGCTTATACTTAAAATTTACATCACTGAAATGATGAAATGTATGATATCAAATTTCCACTCGAGATTATAGATCTCAAATAATCTCAAGTTAAAATCGCTTTTCGTGGGCATTGCTGCAACACATACACGCCACATATTAGTTACTACACTATTGGATATACATATCTGTTATATATAACGACTACAAATCTACATAATATATATCTCAGATATATACAATGCTAAGATGTACGAAAAAATTTTCTATTTCAATTTTTCCGTCACATATTTTATATCACAAAGAAGTATATTTAGTTTGTATAAAAGTGTCATTGCTATATCATTACACATCTCTCATTTTATCAGATAAACACTACTTTATTTTACTAGAAAATAAGTATTCATCTAGAACGTAAATTACAAGATTGTGTCATTTGTATAATTTACAATTAATTTGTTTAAACGAAATTTTCAGTAGCTAAGTAATATGACATCATTTCACATTGCATAAATTCATCAAAACGTTTGGTTTTTGTAGCATTTCTCTACACTATGTTTGTGAAAGAGTTGATACACATTACTAATATGATATTAATTAATTATAAAAATAATTTCCAAGACCTTTTATTTTGTGTTTTTTGTGTTGAAATAGAGTTTTGGCTAAAAATAATAGTAATAAAATAATAATAAAGGTGAAGTAAGTGTAAAGAAAATATATCATAGTTTCAAATAGAAAACGCTGATTATGAGAAAATTAAGCAATTAGTATTAACTTTTCATTATTTTTGATATTTTGTGGACTGAGGGGTTTTAATAGGCAAGATTCTTAGTTAAAATAGTTGAAAACCAAATTTCAAAGCGAAAGTGAATTCTTACATTTTTTCAATCTTATGATATAATTTTAAATTATTTTTTTTATATTTTTATAACAATAACTTCGCATAGGTAAGTTATAGTAATCGCAAAAAAATGGTAAATTAAAATTTGTATATATATTATTAATTTGTATTTTATAATTTTTATATATCAAAGCCTTCTGAACATTTCGGCATACCCTAGAAAAATTGGATCTATGTGTGTATGTTTGAATACACTTTCACGTCCACGATTTCCAAACCATTCTGAATGATATAAAAAATGAGGGTTTCGATTGCTATGAATAATAATTCACTAATAAAAAGTGCCAAAAGGACAATTTTTTAGAGAACGGAGCGTCCGATTTGAATGATTCGATGAATATATCACTTGTATTGGCATAGTGAAGATTAAATTTTGTTTATATTTCTATGGGTTCCGTGCCAATGTTCATCCGTTAGACTGCAATGCGACGCTTACGCGCTTCGATATTTCTTCTCTAAAATTGCCACGCAGCGCGATTGGATTGAAAAAAAGTTCAAAAAAATCAAAATATAAATAAATCATATTAACATAAAGTATTGTTTTCAGAAATTCAAAATTCTCAAAAATAACAAATTTTTAATTTTCAAACATAATTTTTTAAACTTTTTTAACTTCCCGTAGGGCAAGTTATAGTAATCGCAAAAAATCGAAAATGAAAATTTTTGCATTTCTCGACGTTTCATAGGTTTCTGAATATTTTGGCATACCTTAGAAAAATGGATGTATGTGTGTGTGTGTGTGGTGTGTGCGTGTGTGTATGTATGTGCGGATACAAATTTTCGTCGACGATTTCGGGAACACCGATCAACCGATTTGAATAATTCAAAAAACATTCGATTCGTATTGATAAGGAGACGTGCTGATTAGTTTTTGGCAAAGTCAGGTCTAGCCGTTCCGAAGATACGGGGCAAAAAGTGCCGAAAACGGTAATTCAGTTTTTAAGAGAACGGAGCGTCCGATTTAATAATTCAAAAAACATTTTACTTGTATTGACAGGTGAAGAACGGATCAAATTTTCATAAAGGCAAGTCTAACGGTTTCGGAGATTTAATAAAAAAAAGTAAAAAAATGCCATTTGGCGGTCAAAAATGATCATTAGACATATGCACATCAAATTATCAGATATTTATAGAGATTTTAACAATAAGTATGATTTTGGTTTACATTCCTATAGGTTCCGTACCAATGTTTACGCGTTAGACGTCGACGCGGCGCTATGCAGTTAAGCAGTACGATTGCTTTGAAAAAAAGTTTAGGTCTTTCACAATATGTGAAAATAAAGAAAACATTTTTTTTCAAAAAAAAAAAAAATTAAAAAAAAAAAATTAAAAAAAAAAATTTTTTTTAAAAAAGTATTTTTTTGTCTAATTGTTTGTCAAAAAATCTTATCTTTTCAAAATTTTTTTCAAAAATGTTAATCGTTTTTAAAATAATAATAATTTTTGGTACGGAAAGTTCCAGCAATTTGCCTTAAGGCACGATGCCTTAATTGCCTTAAGACAGAATTCCACTTACAGCTAGTTAAAAAATTTGATTATTTTGTACGGGATGTTCCAGCAATTTGCCTTAAGACACAATGCGATGCACCACTTGATATTACTACTAATCAGAAATGTCCATCGGCGCCCCGTCCAACAATTTGAACTTGACGATAAACCATACAATTTCAATTTCAAATAAATTCGCTCCAGATTCGAGTTTTAATAAACTGTTTGCTCTCGGCTTACCGTACTGTGACACTTCAATGGAGACTCCGTCACCCTATGTTGACGAACTGTTGACGGTTGACGGTTGACGGCTTGTGTTTTTATGTTAACAATATGTACGGTCGGTTAATACGTCACCAGCCGCGGAGAGGAGACGACAATATTTTGTTTGATTTCACATTATTTACATCAATCGGTACAAAAAACGTTACAAAATTTGTCACTCGATTTTAAAGACGAACTATCATATATACAATTGCGCCTCAGGACGCCTAAGCATGCTAGGACTCCTAACATGCACATATTAGATGAATAAGAAATAAGTTATATTTTGTAAAGAACATGGTACGAAATTTTAAATGTTGGAGAGCAAACGAAATTTAAAAAAAATCGAATATATTTACTTAACGTCCCGTAAGATAAGTCTTAGTATCGCAAAAAAATCGAATATAATTATTTTTCAAGCATTTCTTTATGTTTCAAAAACTCCTGAACATTTTGGCATACTTTAGAAAAAATGAATATTTGTGTGTGTGTGTGTTTTGTGAGGATACAATTTTTCGTCTACGATTCCGAGAGCACGGAGGAACCGATTTGAATGATTCAAATAAACATTCATTCCTATACATGGGGAGACTTGCTAATTAGTTTTTGGCAAAGGCAGGCTGGCCGTTTCGAAGATACGAGGCAAAAAAGACAAAAACAGTAATTCAGTTTTTGAGAGAACGGAGCGCCCGAATTGAACAATTCAAATAAAATTTTATTTGTATTGACTAAATGAAGAATTGTTTACATTTTGGGAAAGGCAGATCTAGCGATCATGGACTCTCAATGTAAAAAAAATGTTGAAAAATGACATTTCTCGGTCAAAAATATTTCTTAGACATATGCACATCAAATTATCGGATATTTTATCGAGATTTTATAATAATGTGTGCACATTTTGTGTCAATTTTTTTGGGTTCCGTACCAAAATTTTTAATTTTGAAAAATTCATTTATATGGTTCAAACAATTGTCCAAGACATTTTTGACAGTATAGAATTTTGTATGATTGAAAAAACCTTCGGTTCGTACTCGATCGCGAGGCGTTTTTGCAAAAGGCACGTCTTGCTGTTTCGGAGGTATGAAGCGCAAAGGGTGTAAAAATGTTTATGCAATTTTTGAGAAAACGGGTCATCCGATTAGATTAATTCCATAAACCTTCTGCTTGTGTAGACGGTGTGCAAAAAATGCTTTTACAAAAAATTTCGTAACTTTAAAAATTTTCAAAAAAAAATTAAATTTTCAAAGAAAATTTAAGTTACGAAAAATTCAAATTATCAAAATTTTTCATCATTTTCAAAAGAAAAATCTAAATTTTGAGAAATTTCGAAAAATATCAATATTAAAATAAAACGATTTATTGAGATTGAGAAAAATTGAGATAATTTCAAAATTAAACAAAAATCGAATCGAAATTTCAAAAAATTTAAATTTTGAGAAATTTCGAAAAATATCAAAATTTAAAAAATTTATTTCTTACAAAAAATTGAGAATATTTCGAAATTTTCAAAAATTTCTAAATTCTCAAAAAAATTTAAAAAAATCGTTTTTTTTCAAAAATTCCAAAAATTTTCGATCTCTATAATTTATAATTTTTATAATTTCAAAATTACACAAAAAAATCAAATTAAAAAATATTGAACAAATTTCTTGTAAAGATACACACAAGTTGTTTGTAGAATACGCTCGTCCCCAATTTAATAAATAAATTTAATAAAGCACTTATAAATTTACAGTATGCATTTATAATAATCTGTTTAAAATTATTTAAAACAATTCTTGATTATTTTCATTCTACGGAAAGTTCCAGAAATTTGCCTTCAGGCACGATGCCATGCACCACTAGTTTGTGTCTATTTACCTTAGAACGTGTACATCTCTAGCCATGGCCGTTTGCGTCCTGTGCAAATGTATCAATTCAGGTTTGGATGATCTAATAAAAACTTCCTCTTTGCACCAGGTCGCCTTCCTCCATTCCAAAATGCTGTCTCTTTGTTTTAGGAAAGGCTTGTCTTCGATGAATAGACAACTGATGTGGATGGTTGGACAGTTTAGGAAGTCAGATGAAGGATCTATCGGCTCTAGCTGAAATAAAAGACAATTGGTAAAAATTGGATTGTTAAAACTCTTATCTTATATGTCAAAATGGAGCTCTCGATCAAATGATTCGGTAAAACTCGAAAACGGCTAAACCGATTTGGCCAGTCTTAGTCTTGAAAAATTCGTGATAATCAGTAGGTTGTCGGAAAGGTGAGAAATTATTTCAAAATCGCGTACAAACTTTACATTTTTAATTTGAAAATTTTTGTAGAAGCGCAATTTAAATAAAACAATGGACGGTGGCTAATACGTCAAATGTCAAACGTTTTTGACAGACTATGTTCAATTACGTTTAATAGGATGTTTTACGTGAATATTATTTAATTATGTTTAAATTGTAGTAAGTAGTTTTGTTTGTAGTTTTATTCATATACAAAAACGTTAGGAAACGGGCCGCAAGTGTTACTAGAGACTGAAAATATCAACTTTTTGAAATGTGAAATGTGAAATAAAATGTTAATATGAAAATGCACTTTTTGGCATATTTTTCTTAAACACGGTGCTCTGAAAGATCTCATTTGTATAATTATATACTCATAGGTATTTATAAAACATTTTCTAGGTTTTATTATTTTATATTTATGTTATTTAAATTCAGAACCCAAATTTGGTATCGATCAGATGGACATTTTGTCGAATAACATTTTCCCAGTTATAATTTCCCAGAATTTGTCGAAGAATAGATAGTAATTTATGAAGGTCCGGGGTTAAAAAGCTCCACCACCCATGTGTCAAAAATCAATAAAGTTAAGCATTGTTTAACAACAATATTTGAAAGTAGAGGAAAAAAGATGTATAACCAGCTATAACCTTGATTTGAAAACGGTAATTTTTGAAATGGGGGAGATAAACGGCAATCTTTGAAAATCCATAATAATAGTATTTTCTTCCGTTGGTAGTTTTTTAGCATTAGTTAAAAATGTTATAATTATTTTGTAAAATACCTTTAAAATGAAAATAAGACATTAAACCTGTTTTTCACCTGGCCGTTCCAAGTTACCCCGCCTATAGGGTAAAAAGGTCTAGATAACAAATTTTTAAAAGACAGCAAAAAAGCACATTTCTACAATGATGAAGTAGCTGGCAGTTTTACTGAACGTAGTCAGATAATTGTTCGTTTGAAATGTGTTATTTGTTGTGATATAATTGGTTTGATTTTTATAATATAATTAATATTTGCTCAAAGTCAAATTGGAGCTTTGTGCTTCGGCCTGCTCTGCATATATACTTTTTATTAAATTTACTTTAATTCATTTTTCAAAAAGCAGGTTAAAGAAGAAATACTTAATTTATTTTCTATCTCTCCTCGCAGAAATTTAAAAATTTTGTATAAGCTCAGTAGTATTATGTATAATTATACACAAAATCCAGAATCCAAAAAAAAACTAAAAAAACTTCAAACGTAATCAATAAGTCGAAAGACCAAGAAAGACTTTGATTGGATTATACCATATTTTCTATAGAAAGCGTATAAAACTTCCAGTTTGAATGTATTGACAAAATATAGCCAAACTAATGGGGTTTATTGTTTTTATAATAACCTCATTGTATATTGCATTCAAACAACACATCCTTATACACTAAAAGTATTAATATTTTTGATTCTATAGAAATTGTTTAGAATATACCTTACTTAGCAAAACAACGTTTGCCGGGTCAGCTAGTATAACAATAGTTTATATAGTCAATAAATAGTTTTTTATCTCACCTGAGACAACATTACAGGAACATTGCAGTTTTTCCTGACCTTTCCCAGACCATCCTTGTCCTCAAGTTGCCTTTTAGACCAACGTCCCAAGCTCACCAGATCATCAATCGCATCCAAGAACTCCTGATTATGATCATCAGGCTGCACCTCGTCCACCAAAGATTGTCTATTAACATGTCTACGTTTCTCCAAAGTACTCGTCGCCGATTTCATATCAACTTCAGACAACCTTTTACCGACTTTATCATTAGGCGCATTGGTGCCACACCTGGACACCAAGTTTGGCACGTTCTTTCTGGTTTTGATGTCGATGGAATCTGTTATGGAGTACGTATCGTTTTCCTTGGCAGACCAGCGATCGGAATTTGATTCATTTTCTATAATATCTGATAAATCTCGTTTTGTGACATCAACAGAACGTTCTGTATAAGGCAAGGCGTATTCCACGACATCACCATGTTTATTGACAACGTACTGGTAAGTATCTTCCGTCGACTGGTAAGGCAAAGAGTTTTCCCGTTGCAAAAATGCATCAGGCACTTGGTCATCGACATCTCCGTTTGTTGGTGACTCTAAAATATTTTTATTCACCATGTCCTTTCTGGATTTTCGCCTTTGGCTTTTATTAAAACTTCTGTTGAACGTCATGTCGATCCTGGCAAGTTCCCTCGATTTTTTAACAGGATCTGTTTGGGACCTATCGGTGACGTAGATGTTTTCGGCATGTTTGCTTCGATTTTGAGGCGTTGAGAAATTGATGTCGTTGATTTCTAAATGCTTATACTGCATGTGATGGTTGTCCAAGGAATAACGGATTTGTTTGGAAGGTTCTGATTGTGGTGTGAAGTCTGCTTGACTTGTACGTCTGACATTTGGAGTTTTATCCTGGAAATAGAAAAAATTAGTAGTATCTAATAAAATAGTAATAACTTCCCGCAGGATAGTTATAGTAATGGGTCGAAAATCGAAAATGAAATTTTTTGCATTTCTCGACGTTTTGAAGGTTTCTGAACATTTTACTGGCGTACCTAAAAAAAAAAATGGATGTGTGTGTATGTGTGGTTTTCATCCACATTTTTTGGTCCACGTTTTCGTGCGCACGGATCAACCGATTTGAATGGTTTAAAAAACATTCGATCCCTATTTATAGGGAGATGTGCTGATTAGTTTTTGGCAAAGGCAGGTCCGGCAGTTACGGAGATGCGGAGCAAAGAGTGCAAAAAATGGTAGTTTTTGAGTGAACTAAGCGTCCGATTTGAATGATCTAAATTAAACTTTCTGTTTGTATTGACAAAACAATTGCTTTTGAAGATAAAAAATTATTACACCTTTTTTTATTTTTCATAAAATATTTTCAACTTCCCGTAGGGCAAATGAAATTTTTATATATCTTTACGTTTCAAAACCTTCTGAACACATTGGCATACCTTAGAAGAAATGGATGTATGTGTGTGTGTGCGTGTGTGTGCGTGTGTGTGTGTGTGTTCGGATACAAATTTTCGTCGACGATTTGATGAAGCGATTTGAATAATTAAAAAAACATTCGATTCGTATTAATAAGGAGACGTGTTGATCAGTTTTTGGCAAAGGCAGGTCTAGCCGTTCCGAAGATATGGGGCAAAAAGTGCCAAAAACGGTAACTCAGTTTTTAAAAGAACGGAGCGTCCGATTTGAATAATTCAAAGAACATTTTACTTGTATTGAGAAGATGAAGATCTGATCAAATTTTCATGAAGGCATGTCTAGTGGTTTCGGAGATCTAGTAAAAAAAGTAAAAAAAGCTATTTGGCGGGTCAAAAATGATCATAGACATATGCACATCAAATTATCAGAAATTTTATAGAGATTTTAACAAAAAGAATAAATTTTGTTTACATTACTATGAGTTCCGTACCAATGTTTATCCGTTAGACGGCGACGCGGCGCATACGCGCTTCGATATTTCGTCTCTATGCAGTTAAAGCAGTACGATTGCTTTGAAAAAATGCTCTAAATTTCCAAAATATTTCAAAATAAAATTTTCTTCAAAAATTGTTTTTTTTTTAAAAAAAAAAGGAAATTTTTGTCAAAAATTTATAGTTTCTCAAAAATCTAATTTTTTCGAAGTAAATTGTTTTCAAAAATATTCGTTTTTAAAATAATAATAATAATTGATACGGGAAGTTCCAGCAATTTGCCTTAAGGCACGATGCCTTGCGCCCCACTAGTTGTAATTTTGGATTAAAAATTCAAAAAATTACCCTATTTAAGCACAGTCTAAGCGCCACTCTGGTACAAATGTTTACCCAAGTGCGTTTAGACTGTTTATGTTCTGGAGAACTTTTCCAATTTTGTGAGAAAACTATTGAAAAATGTGAAAATGCCGCCAAGCTAAGCACAGTATAAGTGAAAATGTCGCACAGAATTATTTGCAAATGCATATTAGACTGTGACTATACGGCAGCACTTTTTCAATTTTGTGTAACTATTTTTTTAACTTCCAGTAGGGTAAGTTATAGTAATCGCAAAAAAATCGAAAATGAAAATTTTTATATATCTTTACGTTTCAGAGGTTTCTGAACATTTTGGCATACCTTAGAAAAAATGGATGTATGTGTATGTGTATGTGTGTGTGTGCATGTGTGTGCGTGTGTGTGTGCGGATACAAATTTTCGTCGACGATTTCGGAAACACGGTTCAACCGATTTCGATTATTCAAAAAACATTCGATTACTGTTGATAAGGAGACGTGCTGATTAGTTTTTGGCGAAGGCAGGTCTAGCCATTCCGAAGATACGGGGCAAAAAGTGCCACGAACGGTAACTCAGTTTTTAAGAGAACGAAGCGTCCGATTTGAATAATTCACATTTTACTTGTATTAAAAAGATGAAGAACTGATCAAATTTTCATGAAGGCAGGTCTAGCGGTTTCGGAGATCTAACGAAAAAAGTAAAAAAAAATGCCATTTGGCGGTCAAAAATGATCACTAGACATATGCACATTAAATTATCAGATATTTTATAGAGTAAGTATAAATTTTGCTTACATTCCTATCGATTCTGTACCAATGTTTATCCGTTAGACGGCGATGCGGCGCTTACGCGCTGCAATATTTTGTCTCTATGCAGTTAAAGCAGTACGATTGCTTTGAAAAAAAGTTCAAAATTTCCAAAATATTTCAAAATAAAGAGAAAAAGTTTTCAAAAAAAAAGTAATTTTTTGTCCAGTTTATAGTTTCTCAAAAACCTAATGTTTTCGAAGTAATTTTTTTTCAAAAATGTGATTCGTTTTTCGTTACTCGTTCTTAAAAAAATAATAATTTTTGATACGGGCAGTTCCAGCAATTTGCCTTAAGGCACGATGCCATGCGCTCCACTAGTTTTTTTTTAAATTGAATTCGGAATGAAATGACGATTGTTAATGCTCTGGAGATAATTTGATTGATTTATGATTTACATTTGATTTGCTCAGATATAACAAACAAGATAGCAAAAATAATGAAAGTTACAACAGCATTTGTAACAATATATTGAAAACGTTTAAAATTTCTCGAATTTTTCATTACGGCACGGGAAGTTGCAGCAATTTTATCTTAAGGCACGATGCCATACACCACTAGTTCATCTATCCCTTTACCCCTTTATGCCCTGGTCACTTACCCCCTGGTCGTTTTTCAATCCGACTTGACTGGACCTCCATTCGTTGAATTTCGACAGCTTTCTCAAATAGTCTTCGTCTCTGCTGAAAGCGTTTAAATTTCCATTCTGTTTGTTCTGCGGTGAATTAATTTGTTCGAAGCCCAAACTGCTTTTACTTCTTTCGCGGCTGCCGGACCTCAATTCGCTGCAAGATACCACAAAAATCAGAAATTACCACAAAATAGATAATAGTAGATAGGTAATTGGTTGTGGGTTTATTTACAGGCATTTTGCACTTAGCATGGTACCCATAATTAATGGATTATTTTGAATTTAACAGTTGGAAAGATGATTGTTGGAGTCCAGAGGTATGGTTGATGGTTATAGACATTTTGGAACTGTCATAAAAAAGTGGAAACAAAAATTGGAATTTGTAGTATTTGTGGATGGGTTATGTTTACGCATTTAATTTCGAGTAATATATATTTATATATATTTATTTATTTATATAACAATACATTTTTTATAATTTTTATTTTTTTATAAAAACAATAAAAAAAACTAAATGTCATTTAATTATATTGAAAATTCAAAAATGTCAAAATAAATTATGACACGTTTAAGTGGCATCTTGCTTTGAAATAATCGACTTAATCAATATTGTTAGAGATAGATAAATTTTTCAAAAGTGTTTGCTAACAAAAAACTTTAGATCATTTTCTTTATCGTAATTCATATTTTTATTAACGTCCCGTAGGACATGTTATAGTAATCGCAAAAAAATCGAAAATGAAAATTTTTATATATCTTTACGTTTCAGAGGTTTCTGAACATTTTGGCATACCTTAGAAAAAATGGATGTGGCAACACGGATGAAGCGATTTGAATAATTCAAAAAACATTCGATTCGCATTGATAAGGAGACGTGCTGATTAGTTTTTGGCAAAGGCAGGTCTAGCCGTTCCGAAGATACGGGGCAAAAAGTGCCAAAAATGGTAACTCAGTTTTTAAGAGAACGGAGCGTCCGATTTGAATAATTCAAAAAACATTTTACTTGTATTACCAAGATGAAAACTGGTCAAATTTTCATGAAGGCAGTTCTAGCAGTTTCGGAGATTTAGTAAAAAACAGTAAAAAAATGCCATTTGGCGTCAAAAATGATTATTAGACATTTGCACATCAAATTATGATTTATTTTAGAGATTTTAACAATAAGTATAAATTTTGTTAACATTCCTATGGGTTCCGTACCAATGCTTATTCGGTAGACGACGGCGCGGCGCTTACGCGCTTCGATATTTCGTATCTATGCAGTTAAAGCAGTACGATTGCTTTGAAAAAAAGTTCAGAATTTCCAAAATATTTCAAAATACACTTTTCTTCATAAAAATCTTTTTTTTTACAAAAAAAAGTAGATTTTTGTCAAAAATTTATAGTTTCTCAAAAATCTAATTTTTCAGAGTAATTTTTAATAAAAAAAATGTTAATCTTTTAAAAAAAAAATTTTTTTGGTACGGAAAGTTCCAGCAATTTGCTTTAAGGCACGATGCCATGCGCCCCACTAGTATTTATATGTAATACTTTATATTTATATTTTTTATATTTTTATGTAATAATCTATATTTGTATTTGTATTTATATTTACATCTATATTTATATAAAATCTATGTGAAATAGTGCTTTTATAAATATTTACTTTATACCCAAAAATTAATCCCATGATAAATTAAATTGCTAAATATTAGTTGTATTTTTATAAACATTTTTAAAATTAGAAATTTGTAAACTATATCGATTTTAGTTTTATTGATTTTTGATTTTATTTTCATTCATTACACTTTTTGAACTTTAAAACAAAATTCGTTCGTGCAATTTTTAACTTTTTAACAAAAAAAAATCCCTCCCAACTAATTTTATAATATTGGTGACAAAAAAAAAATTTATTGTGCGCTATATACTTATATACAATCCAATAAAATAAAATTGTAAAGTTGATTGAAAAAAAAAGAAAATCTGTATTTTTTTCTATAACAATTTCATATAATAAGGTTTTAGTTCGTCCCTGTAAAGTGTCGCAAAATATTTAGGTAGATTCCCTTTTATATTCAGAGGTATAAAACAAGTTGCAAAATATTAACAAAGGGATTATAAAGCTTGTTTGATACAAAAACTAACTGTGAATTCGCATTTCAATATAAAAAGGTCGATCAGGTTTAGGTAATAAATAAACCTAACGACTATTTAATTCTTAGAAAATTCACCCTTGGCAAATTTATGCAAAATTATTTCTAGAAATTGTAATATAAAATTTACATAATATTTTTGATGTTTTTAAAAACCAGCTTCCAAAAGATGATTATAAAAAGTAAAAGTCCTATATTAAAAATTACAAGTTATCATTTAAATATAAATGAATACTCGTACAAAAAAAATATTTCTCATAACATTTGGATTGCTTAAAAAATTGAGTTGGAAATTAACTTTACTTGGTATTTTTTTAATTGAAAGAACAAAATTGAGATACAATCAAAAATTTACAAACAGCAAATTAATATTAATATAATGTACCATCTAAAATACATAAATAAACTATCAAATAAAATATTATTAGAATATAAACAAGAATTGTAAAATTTTTTTAATACTTTTATATTCAGTAAAAGTTATTTAAATTATGCATAAAATTAGCATAAGCCTCACCAGTTAATATAAAAAAAACATTTAAATTAAGATAATTAAAATATCAAATTTTTTTTCCTTCTGCACTGTATTTAATTTAGTACAGGAAACTAAACACAATCAAAATGTTTTATTATGGCAACAATGTTTTTTTCCTGCCAAACAATAAATGGGATAGGCCTGTGCATTTGGCTTTTGATCACAAAAAATCGATACGATTAGTTAATTTATCGATACACAATGATAAATGATGAATAAATGAAAGCGGCGGATATATTATATGTAGAAAAAAATGTTACGACAACGGAAGAAAAGGCAGTTAAAAAAGTAATTTGTAAAATATATTACGAGTAGATTGGATTATATTTTTATTTAGTTTTAATAGCAACATTTTATTTGTTGTTAAATAATTTTGCAGGAGCTCTAAATTATGTAATCCAATATTTTTAGTTTTTATTTCATACATACATACCTTGGAAAAAATGTGTGTATGCGTGCGTGTGTGTGTGTGTGTGTGTTTACCTATGTGCGGATACGATTTTGGGAACACGGATCGACCGATTTGAATAATTCAAAGAACATTCCGTTCCTAATGATAAGGAGATGTGTTGATATTTTTTTGGGAAAGGCAGGTCTAGCCGTTCCGAAGATACTAGGCAAAAAGTGGTTTTTAAGAGAACGGAAAGTCCAATTTCAAAAATTCTAAAAACATTTTACTCGTATTAACAAGATGAAGTACTGATCAAATTTTTATGAAGGCAGGTCTAACGGTTTCGGAGATCTAGTAAAAAAAGTAAAAAAAATGCCATCTGGGCAAAAGTTCAGAATTTCCAAATTATTTCAAAATAAATTTTTCTTCAAAAAGTCTTTTTTTTTTCAAATCAAAGTAAATTTTTGTCAAAAATTTATAGTTTCTCAAAAATCTAATTTTTCAGAATAATTTTTTTGCAAAAATGTTAATCGTTTTTGAAAAAAATAATAATTTTTGGTACGAGAAGTTCCAGCAATTTGCCTTAAAGCAAGATGCCATGCGCCACTAGTTTGATATTGCATTTGAAATGCTTTAATCTTATGAAAATTATCTAAATATGAAAGTCTATGAAAAACATATAATGTTTATATTGAAAGGCATAATATTTGATAAGAGATTCAAAAACACATTACTCACTTATTATGGTTCTAATTATTCTAAATCGAATTAAAAACAAAGACTAATTATAGCAAACACTTTAGGAAAAAAATATTATTGGAGTTGTTTTAACGTTATAATTATAATAAGTATTTATAACTATTTTTGTCATGAAATATTTTTTTTAGTTTGAATATTTATACAAATCTGTAAATAATAAATTCGAGTAAAAATCAGCATAGGTTCCTTTTGATTTTGTTGGACAAATTTTTACTTTTAAACAATAATTTTAACAAAAATATTTTTGGTTTAAAATAAATAAAAATTAAATGTATAAATAATAAATTTCATTATAAACCGGTTTTATGTTTCTTCGAACAAAAATTCCATAAATATATATAACTCATTTCAGATTGATTTTTAGTTCACAACTGTCAAAATTTATAGAAACGTTTAAAATTTTAATATTTTCAATATAAATTAAGATTTCTAATATATCCTATAACATAAATTGGATATAAATGCACAAGGTGAACAAATCAAATTTAAAATCGGTTCAGCAGTTTAGGAGACTATTCTAGTCAACGTGACCCAAACCTTAGATATGAATATATTTAAACAATTTATATATAAATTTATTTTATCCAGGGCTTTGAACTCGTCTCTGTCATCAGACAGAATCCGTTACATAATAATCAGCAGCAATTTTATTTAACAATGAATTTTATTTAACAAGCGCATTTATTCCACAATTGTTGTAAAAATAATGAATAATTAAAAAAAAGAATAATTAAGAAAAATGCATGCGACGAGGTTTAAATGAATGTTTACAATGGATAGTTTATAACTATATCTTATATTCTCAATTTATACTAATTAAATTAAACATTCAAAATTAAACTGAGAAGTTAATAATTTTCGATCAAATAAATATTCAAAATATCTAAATAATTCAAAATTTAACTAAAAAAATTTAATTTTAGAAATTCTTAAATTAATTAAAAACTTAGAAACAAAATTTAGATTTTGGATTTAAATCTTAAATTTAATTGATAAAAAATTAAAAAATTCTTGTAATTTAAGATTTAAATTCCCAAAATCTAAATTTCGTTCTAAATTTTAATTAAGAATTTGTAAATTATACTTTCTAGACCAATTAAATTTTGAATTATTTAGATATTTTGTATGTTTATTTTATCTAAAATTATTAAGCATCATAAACTTTTCACTTTATTTTGAATTCTTAGAATTGATCAGTTTTAAATTCTCAATTTTTATTCATTGTAAAAATTAATTTTTATTAGATTTGATTTAATTTTTATTAATTTAACATGCATAATTTTTATATCATATTTAAATTTCTAATAACTTTTCAAAATTTCTACCACCAATAATTTACCACTTTTTTTTAATTTTAAATCCCCAATAAATAATTTCTAAATTTTACCTTCTGAAATTCCATTTAATTATAACTTAATTTTTGTATTATCTAAATTTTGGTTTG